CCATTGCATGTTTTTAAGTCGCCATTTTTTACCATCTTGGTTTTCAACCGAATCGAATACTACATACTTTCGTCAAAAAGATCCATCCCACAAACTTTGCACTTTAGAATTTAGAACAATTTTAAAACCTTGAGAACGTCTTATTTAGTTGAAAGATGATGACTGGTTGGAACTTGAAAGACGAGGTACAGTATCAAGTTGACCAACATATATAACACAGATTTAAGAGACGTACTCATAAAACATATCTCGAGTGACATATTTTCCAGTTGTCACCAGACAGAGCGCACGTGTAGTCGGGATTCCTAGACTATGCATTGCCTCACTGCAAAGGAATTCCCGGATACTACTACGTAAGACTGCAAGACCATCAGCAAACCGGCTGTATGGGGTCTTTCCAGCACCCTTAAGCTGCAATTCCCACCTTTCAGACTTTGAATTCAGAACCTCTCCAAGAGTTATTGCCCTACCATCACCTAACTGGCCGGCCCACATTCCAAACTGATGTCCACCATAGCATTGTGCATAAGGCATCCTACAGAACACATCACAAAGAATCTGTGAACTTACTTATATATTCAGCCACATGTCATTGAGAAAGGAACTAAGCAATGACACTTACGCTCCGACCAAGGGTGATGCACCAGAGAATATAAGCGGAAAATCATGTCTTTCGAATCTGAAATATTAGAAGCAATCAGATAGGAATGTGGTTAGACTGTCAAAGAAGCTCGTGTACATAAGAAAATAATAGATGACTAAATAATCAAAACTGGTCACATTTTGATCTAAGAAAAAGACTAACAACTCACTCTTTAGAATCCAAATCAAGTAACTCAGAAACTGAATGCGACCATGCAACAAGCTGAGGATCCTCCACCTCAACAGAAGGAGATACTCTTGTATAGCAAGCATGCAATACCTACAGAACATTTCATGAAGAGTCATCCGATATGGAAAGCCATTAATTATAGAATTAGTCGTAAAACCAACAACATAAAAACAGTTTTTCCAACGAGATTGAGGAATGTGACTTGGAGTGAGATGTTCATTACATTTTGAGTGTCCTTTCTCAAGGCCCAATTTATCCAAAATGTTATAAGAGTTTAATGGGCTATTTTAAACATGATCGAAAACCCAAGAAGTAACAAAACCAATCAAAGTGCTACCCTCCCTCCCTTCCCCATCAATGTTTTTGCAGCTTTCGGTGGCAGACAAATTGATAACAGGTATGGCGAAAAATCTAATGTTTCTCAAATGCAATATTTAGTGCTAGATATTATTTTTTGCTATTTCTGTAATTTTATTTTATTTTTTTGTCTGTCCTTTGGGTTTTTCTTTACTTTAAACGTAAGTAACACACACACAAAAGAGAAACATCTTCTGTTTACATAGTTATCATATTGTTGATTTATTACTTGCTATTTTTTGTATCTATATTATGTTTCTAGTTGCATATTAGACATCAAATTTCTTGTCAATTTATGGTTTATTTGAGCATATTTTGTTTTAATTGTTCTATCAATTTACATCAAGACTCGCACCTCTCATAAAGGCAAAAGGCAAAGGCCTTGATGCCCAATTTATCCTTTCAAACACTGCATAGCAGCCAAACAAATGCTCCTTTTGACATCCAAAATGAGCAACATCATAAGTTCAAGAAACTTGATATTCCTAAGAGACAAGGAAGGATCTAATGAGCACCAATGTTTAACTTATGCTAAGTATAGATGACATGGTATATCAATTCTTGGCGATAACAATTTAATTCAAATGTTGAGACTCACCATAAAATTATCCAAAAACTAATTGTTCTTAGCATAAGATGAGAATCGATGCTCATTTGATCATTTAAGTCACCATAAAATCGCCATAAAGCCAAGCTATTAAATGAACAGCATAGAAGAAACTCCATATATCTAATAATAAATCTCGTGCAACGCATAAAGTTGACATTTCATTTCGACCACAAACAATAATGAATTATGTAAATTAAAGCATCACCTGTACTCTCTCAACAAAATTCTGTTTATTAAAAGAACTCCATTTATTACTTCCAAATCACCCCAAAATTACCACTATCACTTCGTTAATTTCAATGATTAAAATAACTTCATAAGATTGCTAATTTAGTACAAAAAATTCAACATAAAACAACATAGAACAAGAATCATAAACGAATTAAATTGCATCGAGAAAACATACCTCTCGCGGAACTAAATCGGTCTTGGTGTCACTCGGCAGCTCTCGAACAAATGAGTGATCCCACTTCAATTCTTCCAGCTTTAATTTAACCTTCTTATTGATACCATCATTCTCACTATCAAAATCATTATTCCTAATATTGTTATTATTTTCTATTTTCTGATTTTTTAAATCATGAGAAATAGAATCGACGGAGGCAGAAGAATGGCTCTCCATTGAAATGATGAGAGAAGAGTGGAGTCTACGTGATTTAAAGGTATTCAAAGGGTAGAAATAAAATTTGGATATGGAAAGAATGGGGCGGCGGAGGGTGGCCGTGGCAGTGGCGGAGAGAGAGGACGAGCAATGAGGATGAGAAAATGAAGCTGAAATGTGAGAAGGCATTTTAACACTTTGACTGACCTTATATTTTCTCTCTCTGTATAGGCATGTATGTATATGTTATTTCGGCAAAACTAGATTGAAGAGTACAACAATTGAAGCACAAGGTACTTTCATTGTTCTGTATTTTCAATAAATTATTTAGGCCCCTTTTATCCTATTTTCTGAAATTTATTTTCTTTTCTCAAACTTTTAATTTAAATCGTATGTTCTCTTTATAAAATAATTTTGCATTTGAACACGTGCACCTGTTTGATTGGTATTAAATTTAAACTTAAGTTAAAGTTAACAATTAATTTTTAACTGCATATTTCATGAAACCTACAACTTTTCAACCATACATTTCATCATTTTTTATCAAAATATACTAAAAATCTGATTTTAATTCCCCAACCAAACAAGCACGTAATTTTTCCTTTCTTTTTAACCATAAATTCTCATTTTTCACAAAATTTATTACTCAATTTTATTGTCGAATGTATTGTTTTAACCGTGTTAAAGTTTAGGTAAAAGAAGAATGATTATTGTCTCTTGTTAAAACTCATTCAATATATTTCGAGTCCTTCGACTTAGGTTACTATTAATCTACTCCATGATTTATGTTGCTAAAAATCAGTTTTTTAGTAAATTTTGATAAAATTTAATTCGTATTTGGCCCCAATTTTTTAAATTCATTTTTCTCCAAATTTATTTTTAACCACACATTTTATAGAACTCATATTTTTTATCAACTTTTCAACCTCACGTTTAATTAATTTATATCAAAATCTATAAAAAATAATTTTTAATCAAATCAAAGATGGACTTGTGAAATATGTAATTAAAAAGTTGATATTAAATTATTAATTCCATGAATGAAATTGTGATAAATATTAATTGTTTCTAAATCGCATAATTTCCGATTTTAACGTATAGATTGAAACCTACCAAAGGTATCAAAATAGTCTTTGTTTGGTAGACATTAAAATTAATTTTTTAGTAAATTTTAATAAAAGTCGATAAAATATGTAGTTGAAAAATTATGAGACCAATGAAATATGAAATTAATATTAATTGTTTGACTTTTATTTAGATNAATGAAATATGAGATTAATATTGATTGTTTGACTTTTATTTAGATTAAAATTAGATTTTAATCAATACGAAATAGGGGCTAAGTAACTCGTAAAATAAAATTGGAACCCACTCCAATTGCAAAACTAGAAGCCGCAATCTTCTTTGGATCTCGATAAAGCTCTTGGAACCAATCAATCAGCTAATCTCATAACTTATTTGATTTAGATTAAAATCTAATAATTATAAAATAGAAGCCGCAATCTTCCTTGAGTCTCGATAAAGCTCTTGGAACCAATCAATCAGCTTATCTTATAACTTATTTGATATAGATTAAAATCTGATAATAATCTCAAGTCAAAATCGATAATTAATTTTAACCAGAGAATCACAATGTTGCAACCACATTTTATTATTTTTTGTCAAAATATGTTAAAAATGTAATTTTAATCCACACCAAACAAATAGTAAAAGAATATACGGCTATTACCCCCAAACAAATAGTTATTTTCATTCATTCGAAATTGAACAAAATTTCTTACTGAATTAAAATTATGTATTTAATAAAAACTAATAAACCACAATTTCAAGAAATCATATCTTCATGTTTTTCTTTTAACCAATCCGTGCAATCAATTTATATATTGATGGTAATTTAGCCCCCGTTTGTGAAAAAAATTATAAATTATTTAATTTATAAATAAATAAAAATGAATAATGAATAAATTGACACTAATAAATTATCCAATTGAAGGCTTAGAAAAGTGTAACCACAATAAATATAATCATTTTAGACAATTGACTGGCAATAGAAAGACTTGCAGGCAGCACAATGTATGCGAATTGATTGTAATATGTAGAGGCCTAGAGGGTTTACTCAATCATTCTGCACGGCATGTTTGGCTGACCCCCAAAAAAGGGTAAGCAAATACTTGTTTTAAAAAAAGTAACTTTTTTTGTACTGAAATTCTTTTTTTTCTTAAAGTAACTTAAAGAAAAGCCAAACATGTTTGCCTTAGTAACTTTTAAACGTTCAAATATGTTCGACTAAGCTAAGACCAACCAAACATGCTCTTAACCTATAAAAGAAAATACAGTCACAAATGCAATTTTTTTAAAATGAACAATATCAAACGTGAAGAGGATTGGCAGATGAATTTGAAAAATGTTCAGAGAGCCCATAAATAAATTCTAAAGGAGAATCTATGTGTGTGTTACAACTTACAAAGACAACAAATACAGTCCCTACGAAATAAAATTCATAAATAAGACGCCGTTGGCCAACATTCCTTATCAGGTATGACCATGAAATCCTCTATACTACAATCTTAAAAACCTGATTTTTTGTCACATCACCTACATTATTTGTCCTTTGGTATGTCAAGGTCTTTGAATATGGGGCTATCGACTCCCACTCCCATAGCATTCAGTCCATTGTCGACATATATAAGAGCACCGGTAATGGCAGAAGCCAGTGGGGATGCTAGGAATGCAGCTGTGTTTCCAACCTCCTCTGTTTCATTGGTTTTCAAAGTTTAGATAACAGAAAATTGCATTTTAGGTCACTGACCCATTACCTCAGTAGAAAGTTAGTCCTCAACCTTTCGAAGGAGAAAGTTGATCCTCAATCTTCTGTTATAGTTAAACAATGAGTTCCTAACGACAGAAACCGCCAAAACCTCAATTAAGTCGTAATGCCCTCACACGTGTATAACCTTTTGAGCTAGGTTGTGTTTTCCAATTCATGCTAGTGCTAGCAATTTGAAGTGAGGTGATTCTATGAGGACCACATAATGATACAACAGACTTAGAAAGTTCCGTTGTGTGGATTGATTGTACAACTATCATGTAAAATTGAGGACTAACTTAATCCTTTGCAAATATTGGGGACTAACTCACTAGCCAGGAAATAGGTCAAGGACCAATGGTACAATTGTCCCTCTAGATACAGTAGAACGTGCTTGAGGGACGTAAGGAATAGAAGAAGGGAAAAAAAAATCCATGCAGCCTGAAGCAGGAAGGTTTACAAAATTTACCTGCAGATAATTCTTTCTGAAGAGGTGCATTGGCTAGAGAGTAATCAATCATCATATCAATGAATCCAATTGCTTTAGCAGCACGGCTCCTTAACGGGCCTGAATACATTGTAAATTCCAGTTGAAAGGAAAAAATGAGCAGGATCACTAAGATAAGATTTTCACATGAATTTTACAGAAGAAGAAAAGTATAGTCTCGGTCTAATCACCTCTAGGGTGTATTATATCATATATCACAAATTGTGATTGAGTAGGGATAGGCACAGTCTGGTTCTTTCCGGACTGAACCAGTCAGTTTCCTCTCTATTCAACTAGTCAATTCTGTGAACAACTGAAGAACCGGTCTGGTTTGATTCACATAACAATTTGAGACGTGGTTGGGATTAAGTGCGGGTGAGTACATTATAATTGGATCTGCCTTGTGAATACACAGTGGATTAATTGACAGGTGAAATCATGCTAGGTGCTCAAGTAAAGGAGTCTTAAACTAGGTATACTCCAGTGTAAGGAATAATCATATGATTATGAAGATGAGGTACTCTTCAATGATTTCAGTTAGGTCACACAGTAAAAGCATCTCTAAAAAACTCTATATTTTCAAATAGTATATTCTATCATTTGGAGAGCATCTATAAATTTAGAGAGTTAAAGTTTTGAAGTACTCCAACAAGTTCTTTATATTTAACAAAGAAACCGGACTAGAACCGGTTGAACATTCAATAACCGTTCGGTCCGGACGGGTTTGAGAGGAAACCAGAACCGGTTCAATGGTTTTTTTAATAAAGTAAAGTGTAAAATTTTATTTACAACTTGTAATGGCAGAGATTCGAACCTGAGTTTCCAACATGAAAATTCACTTTCTTGACCATTTTGGAAATTAGAGAACTTCGTAAGATAATGGGAGCAAAATATATATCTATATATAGCAAAATGGTTTTCTTTTTATTGCAAAATATATTTTAATTAAAAATACGGTTTAACAATGGCCCACCAGTTGAACCACCGACCCGATGATTTTTTCGGGTCAGCTACCGGGTCGAGTCTAATAACTATGGTAATATCCGAATCTGAAAAGATAAAATGTTGGACGAAGGCTCGAGTCTCAGCTGAACAAGATTGTATGAAGGATCTTGTGTTACTAGGTCATTATTTTCAGGTGATAATAAACAAACTGCTTGCCCACTAAGAGCATGGTTGGACATGCCACATTTTCCCACTTATAAGTATATTACTGGTAGATATTTAGGATTTACTTACAAAATAAGTAGCTTGTAGCTTACTTATTTTCGACTTTAATCAATATAAAATATACTATTAGAAGGAACTCATTTACTTATAACTAATCTATAATCTTAAAAGTGTTATTTTTCAAGCTTTGCCAAGCATGGACTAAATTATATAATCACCCAAACAACCACTCTTTCCAAAAACTTCCCAAAATACAAAAAATAAAAAAGAAAGAAGCATGACAGAAGCTGAATTTCTAAGGGTGCGTCTCCCATTATTGGGAGAAAAATAGAGTAATGAATAGTATTTTTTGGAGAATGTGTGGTTGAAAAGTAAAGTAACTTTATTGGTTTGTGTGTAGAATATTTTATTGGGTGAATGCGTGGTGGAGAATCTTACTGTAGCAAACAATTTTTTGGAATAATGGTAGTCAAACAGGGGCTAAATTTCAATAACTATTCTCACATTCAGGAAATGCTTTCGAAAACATTTAGCACAACTCACTTAGAAAACTGGAACCCAAGAAAAGTCTAAATGTAGAAGGACGGTATTACCAGCAGATATAGTGTTGACCCTGACTTTATGTTTTCTCCCTGCTTCAAAAGCAAGAACCTGCAACACTCAACAAATTGACTCCTTCGAAATAAATTGTGAGAAAATGTGGGGAAAAAACTACAGTGATCATTGATAAACTTGCCTTTGTGTCACTCTCGAGCGCTGCTTTCGCTGAACTCATGCCACCTCCATAACTGTTTATAATTACAGCTAGTAAATTTTCTGGAGAGAAATAGTAGATTCAACACAGGAGAATAGGAAGAAATGCTACAAAACTCAAATACCCTGGAATGATCCTCTCAGAAGCAATATATGTGAGAGAAATTGAAGAACCACCTGCAAAAATGGCCCAACTTTAAATCAAACTAGATGGTTTTACATAACAAGGGCATGTTGGCTAACATTAAAAGTTACTGTTACTTCAAAGAACATTTTTTCCATTCGTCTTTGTTGTTTTTTAAGAAGTTACCTTTTTCTTTTCCATATTTTCGGTACAAAATATTTCTATTTTTGATACTTAAATACTTGCTGTCAGAAAAAATGTAAGTTCGCATTTTTTAAACTTAGCCAAACATGCTTTCTAATAATGTTTAATTGGAGAAGCAACCGTGAGAAAGATGAAAGGAAAGCACAAATAATACAAGTAACAAGACATGCCTGGATTCATGATTGGAAGGAAATGTTTTAGTAAGGAAACATAAGAATAACTTGATGCAGATATTGCTGCAAGATATCCCTTTCGTGAAGTCTCCAACAGAGGTTTTGTTACCTAGTTATAGATGTTTCAGTCAATATCCAGGCAAAATATTTACATCTGCATAATATAAAAGAAGGTGTCGTACCTCTGGACCATTAGCCAGAGAATGTACAAGAATGTCAATGCTGCCAAAATCCTGTTTTACAGATTCTGCTACTTCCTGTTATGTGATTTCAAAATGTCAGAAAAGTGTGGTTGAGGTGAAAGTAACTATTAGTTTGACTAACATACTTAGTGAAGTCTGAAACCCTAAAAAAATATTTTTAGTTTTGCCGGACCTCACTTGATAATCTTGATCATAAATGTTGAACTATGTCAAAATGAGTCCGACAACCTTACGAGATAAATTTACAAATTGCAATTAATCTAAAAATTATTTTTGTCTTCTTCAGGGGATGGTGCCAGTTGTGAAAGAAAATAACAGGTACCTGAACGGTCCAATTACTGGATCCAGCATAGCGCTTATTTGTTTTTATCTGCATGAGGCAATGTAAAAACAAAATTCACTGAGCACCTCTACGATATATTGAAAATTATTGATAGCTTTCAAAGAATCCTAATTCGTTTAGATTACATCTTCTGGAACGTCTTCAAGATTGTCAAAAACTGCATCTAAGGGATAAACTTTGGTGATTTCCATCAAAGAACCATCTGGCAACCTGACATCCAACTCTTCGTCAACAAAAGAGAGTTTCTGCATTCTTTGTTATGTTAAAAAATGAAGGGAATATGATCTTAAATCTTACACGCGTGATTCATCAAATTTTCCTCGTCGCAGGCTTGTTTCAAAAATGTTCAAAGCCTATGTGAAGTAATTCAATAATTTATTCAAAGGTTAAGCATACAAGTGAAAGCAAATACGCGCAGATAGGAATTGCAGCTTTCTACTTACAGGCACCCATGTACCAACAAGAATTTCAGCTCCTGCCGCAGCGAGCGATTTTGCAATAGCCCAACCATATCCATTATCATCAGCAACACCTGCTATAAATGCTCTTTTCCCTATAAACAGCATTTACAGCTTAGTCACAAAAATATTTGCATTATACTGTGTTATCAACACATAAAGCAGCAAACAGTAAAAGCTTGGTAGTATTGCACTGAGTCTTTCACTAAGATACACGTTTTGATCTACATTATTCCTGACAAGCAAGAACTTCGCTACAAACTAATAACATAACAAAGAATAATCTTTATACCATAAACAGAAACTTTTAGTAACAGGTTGTACTTATTTATCCATGAAATAAAATATAGAAAGACTGCAGGACAAATCTGTAAGAATATATGATTTTTAAGTAGAAAGGGATCTTCAATCCAGTAATGAAAGAATAAAAAAAAAACCTTTCAAATTGATTGGCAATCCAGGAGCAGGCTTGTTTTCTCCAGCTTCAGTCATTGCCTTTGTGACAACTTTATTAAATTTTGAGGACGATGATGTGAAGGTACGGCGGAAGTGCTGTCCAGATGATATATGACAAGCACTGGAAAGCTTAGACCATGATGCCCCTTGATGATTGATGACAACATTTGCCACACCTGCTCTAATAATTCTTCCAGTTGAGAAAAGAGAGGGTTTAACAGCTGCAATTTGCATGCTTGAAACTGAAGCTGCTGCCATTTTCAATGTATTATTCCTGAAAAAAAAAAGTTGAGACACGTCCAATATGCCAAAATTAGAACTTACTGCCATAATTACTAGAAATAAAGATTCAGCGAATGTACACATAATCCCAGATAAAAATAATATCTCAAGATTGTGTCTTGTCAAGAAATTAAAATCAAGTAATTATTTGGTTGATAGATAGATATTTTTAATTTTAGCTCAATTGAGCACCAATGATCAATGTGACATTAAGACTCGGTTCATTTGTGATTTATAACAACTTACAGATAACGATGTTTCACATGGCATCCATGCCAAGTACTAAGAGCAGATAATATCGCTACGTCCAAGTTTTACATGTAAACTAGCGAACTATCTCAAATAAATCATTAAACGTTTATCCATTACTTACAGATTTAGTGCTTACCTGCTCTCCAGTAAGCTTCTCTAAGGTAAATCAAAATTATAGTTCATAGTTAATGGGCTTTTCTTAATATCGTATGAAAATATTGCCACTCCACCAGAACATGTGTGTTGTAACTCCATTCAAGGAATAGGCCATATGAGCTGGGAGAAAATGAAAAGTTCAAAATGATATGTGCATGTTTGCTAGTCTTTTATGAAGGAAATCAGATTCCTTCCATGTAACAACAATACAATTTATTTTGGTGAATATTTTGTGGTGTCCACAAATTCCAAAGCAAGCAAAAACCTAATAACTTATTTACGACTTCGTTCTCTTAACTTGAATTTTAGATGTTTGATCTAACTTCTTAATAAACCAAGTTAACTTCTTAATAAACCAAGTTAGGCCTTATACCTCTCTTTGCTAAAATCAAAAAGGAAATGCTAAAGCAGGTAGTGCATCAAAATCCAATACATCGTGTTCCAATAGTTGGACATACTGTGAAAAACTAAAATGATAACTAATCATTACTGAGATGTCATTTTCTCCCATCTCCCTCAAACCCTCACCAATTAAGCAAAGAATTAAGGACAAAAAATGACAAAAAGGGATTTTACCTATAAATCTGAGAAATTAAACTAATTCAAAGTATCGCTTGGTATACCAATAGTATAAAAATGATTCATTTCTCAGCTGCAGAAAATTAAAACCCTTGAAATAACAAATGGGTTTCATATTTACTCATATATCTGAGTCCTGACAAATTAACCTAATTCACAGCATGACGTGCATACCAATATTATAAGAATGCTTCCAAATACTGTAATTTACTCAATTCACGTCTGCAAAATTATTTAAATCCTTTAAAATAACAAATGGGTTTTCGTTAACGAATGCTTCGAAATACTGCATTTTACAGAATTGTCAGCTGCAAAAAGCCTAAAACCGAATTGTCTTCGTTTAAGTAGCAAAAGATTAAAGATGCAAACATACATATACATGCGCGCGCGCGTAATTACCAACACTATTGGAGGACGAAAACGGGTATGTGTGAGAGAAAGACCTTAGTGCAACTGAGAGCGCCAACGTTGAAATCAGGTCACAGAAAACTGGCGGCGGCCACCGTGCAAACTTGAGATTTGGGACCGTTTCGCGATTGCAACCCGCAAGTTCTATTACAATTTAGCATTGCTAGGGTACATACCCCCATACACGTCTACACCACTCTTATATGGGGGCGGGACCACTCGAATGAAAAAATATTATTTCAATGGGTCCCACCCCTCATGTGAGGGGTGTGTAGACCCTTATGTATAATTCTTGATGTGCAACTAGAATAATTCTGCAATTTATGGATACAAGGCTATCACTATCAGCTATCGTTTGGTGAAATGGCGACAGTATTTAGGGCTGTTTGTTTTTCATTCTCAAATTATAAGATAAATCAATTCTCATTTTCAATCACACATTCATCAATAAAATAATATTTTACATCACATCAATAATTTTTTCTTCTTTTTTAAACACACATTTCTCATCATATCACTATTTAAAAATCAATTCTTCCCCCCAAAAATCCCTACCAAATAAGCACTTAGCCTACGTTGAGTTAATTAAATCACCATGTACTAAACTTTACACGTGGTTAGTACTTGCTCACTGAAATATAAAAGGTTACTCAATGCTCACTGAACTATTCATTAGTTTACCAATCAATCACTGAAACTAATTCCCTCTCTGCAGCTAGACAAAAGTGTCTACGTGACGTATGATATGGAAAACGAAATATACACGTCACTTAAAAATAGCCAAACAGGAATTAATTTTTGTAAATAGGCAAAGAGGGTTCACCTGAAAACGGTAATGGCTTCTCTAAATTCACCCAAATTGAAAATCGAATCAGTCAGTCGAAACTGAAATCGCCGTCGACCGTCGAAATTGATAATCGTTGTCCACCGAAATCGATCCTCCCCAAATTGCACTCCTCCCCAATTCCAATCCTTGGTAAGTTCTATCTTCATTGTTAAGCCCCAAATCGACAACCCTAGATTTTTAGATAGAAGTGAGGAGCCTTGTAGGTACGTGCATGAGTGCTATAGAGTTAGCACGTATCTCAGTTGTTATGAGAATATCATCTATCCAATCAATGGAATAATGTTATGGCCTTCGATTGATGCCCTTCCAGTCAAACCACCAACTTGGGTTGTGTCTAAACGGGGAAGAAAACAAAAGAAGAGAAGGAGACAAGCAGAGGAAGATATCATCACCTATGTCGGATCCAAGGGTGAGCTAAAGAAGAGAGGTATAACAATAATTACTTGTAGTGCTTGTGGAGGAACTGGCCACAACATGAGGTATCAGCAGAAGGCTGACTCAACACGTAAGGTTTGTTTAGAGTTCAAAGACGATGTTTATTTCCTTTTCTTGTTCAACTAATATGGTAAATGGAAACACTATCTGTGCTCATTTTAGGCTTGGTATGAGAGTGTTATAAATCCTGCAAATGAAGAGAGGTCAAACCACGTTGTGAACGATGACTCACAGGTAATCGAACTAAGCAAATATTTTCTCAAATTATTCAAACATTTTCCTTTGCTTAAATGATATCTAAGATTATTTTTAGGTCAAACTAGTGCCTATGAGGCCACCGAGCAATACGTCAATTGAATTGCAACCATCGACACGCAAAATCCAATTTCCAGTTCATGCCTACACCTGGCATTGATATAACAAGTGCTTCCCGATTCAACAACTGTGGTCCTCCACTTAAACAGCCAGGTAGTTCAAAAATGGAGGAAGCTCCTTTGCAGATGCAAACTACAAGGATTCCACTTGAATCCTTGGTGGAGGATCTACAAGATATAGAGAACCAAGAAAAAGCAAGGAAGATGACAGCCATGATAAAAAATAAAAGGGTCGTTCGAGGGTCAGTTGCATTTGCACCACCAAGAACGAAGAAAAATTCAGCCACTCAGTAGCAGCTCAACGGACTTCAAGTGCCACCTATTCGTTTAGATTGTAGTTTGACGGTTGTGAAGTACTTTTGTCATTAAGGATATTGACATTGTTTTGTTTCTTTCTGTGTAAAGTTGCTGGAAATGATTATTTTGTGATACTCATGATCAGACATGATCTTTTTGTAATAGACATAAATCTTTTTGCATGAAAATAGGTAAGTATATTGGGAATATTAACTAAGACATCTGTTCAGGGTTTGATCTTCCAACCTCTTACTGGTAGTTTCTTATTGCTTGAAATTTCAGCAATAGCTTATCTTACTAGTAGTCTCTTATCTTCTCCTCTGGTAATAACTTGTAATGTATTGCTATGTTTGGAAACGGACTGATTCGATTAAAAATGAAGAAGTGATGATGGCATGTAAATGATGAAGAATTACGTACAATGCATGTTTAGTCATACCACTACTATATTAAAAGAGAGGGTTGCCAAATCACCAATTAAAAAAATGTGCAGTGTGAATGCGGAGCAGTGAGGAAACTGCTCCGCAACGTTGCGGATCACACTCCGCATTTTTTTTTATTCTTTTCTTTTTTTTTTACAATTTTCTTCTCTTCAGTTTTTTTAGAGGATTTCGATAACCATATGAAAAGATGGATGAGTATTGAAGGTAGTGTTCTTACAATGGTTAGATTAGAATTGGGGATTTCACTATAATTGAAATGGGGGTGCGTTTTGAAGGGATGAGAATAACACTCTTTTTTCAATTAGTAGCGTTTTTATCCAACGTGTGGTTAATTAACGTCGTGTATTGCCACGTAATTTTTCCATCGGCCACGTAGACATTTTTAGAGACGGAATTAGTTTCAATGATTGATGGGTTAACTAATAAATAGTTCAGTGAGCATTGAGTAACTTTTTATATTTCAGTGAGCAACTAGTAACCATGTGTAAAGTTTAGTTGGCAGTGATTAGTAACCATGTGTAAAGTTTAGTAGGCAGTGATTTAATTAACTCGCCTATGTTTGATGGTCGTTGCTAAGAAAAAACCGACGTTTTAAATTGTGATATTTTGAAAAATATGTTTGGTATTTTATTATATCTGATTGAAAATAATTACAAGAATTAAAAATTTTGTTTTAAAAGAAAACAAACAGGAGTTTGGCTCATGTTGGAACAACTTATTTAGCTCATGTTTGACTATAGTTCATTTTAAACTTTTTTTTTAACATACTAATTTTTAATCACACATTTACAAAATAAAATATTTTGCACATAAATTTTAAAAAAATCCATTTTTAACTACATATTTTCCTAAAAATCACAATTTAAAACTCTAATTTTCCCAAATAATGATTATCAAACTGGGGTTCACACACACATATTATTGAGCTTATGTTTAAAATTATTTTATTCAAAAAATAAATCGTTGAAAAAGGATTTTATACAATGAAACTCTAACGGGTGCTTAATGTGTTTGAATTTCATTTTAAGTTACTGAAATAATTATAAGGTATAAAATAATTGGCATACGAGTAATTAGAGTTGTAAATTTTATGAAATGTATCATTCTTTGTTTGATTTTGATTTTTTAGAAATTACTTTTTTTTCTCAGACTCCTTTTAAACTATAAATTCTTCCACTAAAATAAAATTTTTTTTTCACTTGGATCATAAATTTTTCTACTTTTAAATCACACATTCTTAAAAATCGCTTTTTACAAAATAATTTCTCAAAAAATGGACTCGAACGGGGGTTAGAAGTTTTTATACATTAAATTCCTTCCAAATAAGGATGTTTATGGGATTTAGTAACGCGGTCTTGTATATCGAATCATGCTACATGTACAATATTGAATGTCAACATTAGCTGACAACATCTTATTTGGCATCATCATATTCATTCATTTTAAAAAATTATTTTCTACATCACATGTTATGATTTTGACAGCATGTGATTGTCAACAATTGTTGTACACTTAGATTTATTCTTGTACATTAGAATTTTATTGATTTTGGTAGATGGGAAAAGAGAGAAAAAAAAATGACTCTGATCGGTATGAAATGTTGATACAACGATAAAAGGCATTTACTTCTTGAGAGTGGAATGATATATTCGAAATCATCATAAATCATAGGAGAGGTATTGACTATTCAACTCAAAATAATGAAGATTCGTATAATTTTTGAAAAAGGAAATGCTGTGTTTAAATTTTTCTTAGACCTCAAAGGATACCACTATAATTTGCCTTATTTACATTAATTAATATGTATTAGTAATAATTATCAATTTTAGCATTTCTTTAATTCTCATTCTTTTCAAAATACATTTTTCTCTCTTTTTTGAACCATATATTATTCAATAAAATAATATTACACGCAACCCAATTTTTTTTATTTTTTAACAATACATTTTCCATCAATTTATTATTTCAAAATACATTATAATCCAAAAAATAGGGCTCAAACATGCCCTTAATGTTTAAAGTAGAGAAAGCGTGGAAGTTAAATACGAAAATTTGTGCAACTATTTAAAGTTTCAAATCAAGCCAATTCGGTTGGGTTGTTCCATTTTCATAATTTTTGATTTGATTTTATTCTCCAATTTAAGTATTCCAATTAATATAATTTCACAACGAATGTCAAAAAATCATTTAATATAAGTGGTGTTCAAAAAGGGCAGTAGTTCTTTAAACCGACTAAACCTAAATAATTGTACCAAATGTGGAAGTGCACAAGAAAATAGAGAAATGGCAGAGCGGTTCCTAACATTTTCAATTTTCTTAGACTTTACTCTAATCTTCATTTGTGCCAGCGAAAGTTCATAACATTTCATAAATATGCAACTAGAGTCCAAATGGATGAAATTTGACCGTTAGTTGACAAAAAAAAGTCAAAATTTGATTAATTTTGACCAATTGAAAGTGGCAAAATGATAAGTTTAGAACTATCACATTAAATAAATAAATAATTGAAGGAACAAATGGTTTCCTCTTCACCCAGCCTATTACCACACCTGAAAATCAATCATCAGCACTGGCCGATACCAACGTCGATTATATTCTTCCCCAACACCCATTCGCGTCCATCCCTAAACCTCACCCAAATCCAAACCGTCGCCACCATCATCCCCACTGCCAAATGGAACCCAAATAAAAAATCTAAATCAACGAATCTATAAAAATCAGCCTTTCTGTCGTCAGCACCATCGCCCAAATCGTTGGATCTACACATTGCCGAGAAGTCCTTATTCCCATCTACATATCACACCCAACTACCAACCCTAATTCCCAAAGATGTCGCCGGAATAACCACCCAAAATTCCCAAATCGCGAATTCAAAAATTGTCGAAAACTCATCCTTCAACCATAACCACCATCGCGGACTATCACCGGTCGACTCCCACAATCAAAGCGTCTAGTCTGATGATGGTATTTCAACAAAAAAATGGGACAAACAATCGATGCAACTTTTGAGATTTCAAATCCCAATCTTTGGTTAGGATGGAATTTGATTTATGGGTTTGATAGATAGGGATTTGATTTATGGGTTTGATATCGACAATGGTGGGCGTGGGTGGTGGTGAATGGGAGTTGTGGTGGCAGTGTGGGTCTAAAGTTGCGGTGGCGATTTTCGGCACATCTCGTCGGAGAAGAAGAGACCTCGTCAGATTTTGATTTGGGGAAGTGGGTGGGCTGGGGTTATATATTTATTTTTTGCGTTTTTTAAATTTAATTTTTAACTCATTTAGCCAATATTTGAGTCACATTAAAATTTTCATTCTAATTCTTCTACTCATTTTCAACCACACATTTTATAATAAAACAATATTTTTCATTATATCAATAACT